GGCCACAATTATGTACTACTAGTCAATCCTGGTGATATGATATCACACCGATCCGTACAGGAGAAGGTAATATCATATATATCACATGGGTTATCACACCTGAAATGATTAAGTGCTCTATTTCATTCTACAAAAACAACAACACAATAATTTGACTCCTGTAAAAGATACATCTTTCCAAACACATTAACTACTAAATCAAACTTATAATTTTGGATTATACGTTGTATGTTTATATATACATATACACACTTCAAATTAAATATATTTCTAGGATTTACCGAATAGGGAACATGATATCGTGTTAAACACTCCATAAGAGCTGTAGCAAGATCTTCTCTTACAATGTAGCTTATATAACCTTTTAATCAAGAACGAACTCAAACACAATGTTACTTCCTTCCTCTGGTAGAATATTATAACCACATGTTTTGTTTTATGACGTACGAAGAAAACTTTGATGAGGTTTTAAATACTATGTTAAATACATCATTTGTCAAACATAAAACCAACTACAAGTGGTTAATAGCAATTTATTTGTATATATGTGTGTGAATGGATGGTGAAGTTTAGTAGATATATATTTGTTTTTCAGCAAATTCCCAGCCATTTGAAAGTGTCGCAGTGCCGTCACAGACAGAATTGTGAATGAAAGAAAACAGGAAAAAAAAAGCTTTTTCGTCTAGCCTCACACTGTTAATGGTGAAAGGACAGTAATTATTTCTTTGTTTACTGTTAGGCGCAATTCTACAAAATGGGCTCTTTGTACTCTGCCCACCACGGTTGTCGAAACCTGGTTTTACAGCGTGATATGTTTATAGACTTACCGCTGAGCCACAGGGGGGGTGCAAGATAACGTTCTGGTTCAGAACTAAAAAAGTAACATTTCAGGAAACTTGGATTAGCCCTAAATCCACTTACTGAATAACAATGCAGGAATAATCTTCATGAGTGTAAATAATTTAAATATTCGTTAAAACCAAAATATTAATAAAATTAAAAAGAAAAAAAAGAAAGAAAGAATATAACCTCACTTAAAGCACATAGAAATTAGTTGTTCCCAGAAACTCTTGATAAAACTTTTTTAACCCTTCGTAACAACGTCTAATGAAAGTCCTTTAATCAACCCAACACTAACTTTTAGACTAGCATGACATGTAAGATAATTCTTACTGTTTAGCTATAGATACAGGTTGCAGGACAGTATACTTATAGTACAGAATAACAACACACACTCATGTCTGTGTGTATAAAGATAAATTAAGTTAATAACCAAACTGGTTCAATAGATAATGCAAATATAAATCGTATATTTAAAAGAATCAAAGTAACACAGTTACAAGAAATTACCGAACATATTATAAACAGTGTCTGTAAGCAGTTTAAGGCCATGCACACATAATTAAGTTACTGAAAGAGAAAGCAGCCGGAAGCAATAATTAATGTTAAACTCTAGTCGATACTTTAGTGCGAAAATAATCACCGTCATAAAAAAAAAAGACTTAATCAGTGAAATATTAACAATGGTTAATACAGCAATTAAACAACTATTCATTAATAGATAGTAACTTAACTAAGATAATGACATAAAGCTGTATTATATAATAATCTGTTATAAAATTGGTAAATCTAGGGAGAGATAAACTTAACGATGTTAAACGCTCTAGAGCTAAAAATTACTACATTTCGAAGGAGGGGGGTCTCCAGTGCCCTTCATCGAGGCGGTAAAACGAGAGTTTATGATATCACTGGTCTCCGATCTCAAACTCGAAATGAAGTAACGTCTTCATTTACAAAATGCAAACTATGGATACGAAAGAGAACCCTCCAACCCTCCAAAAAACCATTCTGAATGGAGGTGAACATATTTTCTGGTACAGTTAACAAGCTGATAAACAAGGATTTGAAATAGACGAAGGCTCATCAGCCACACCTCGAAATAAATAACCGTTTTCGTGAAAAAGTTGGTTAAAAAAAGACAAGAAAGGAGAATCCCATTCGACCTATCTGTGTCAAGTTCCAATTGACTTTATTTGATTTTGTGGAGGGCGTATGGAAAGTTTGTCAAGATGTATAATCTAAGACTGACCTTGCCTTTAGCTAGGACAGATTTACACTAGTTACTTAGGTTGACAATCAAAATGTCGGGGAAAGATTGGCAGGAAAGTTGTTTTAGTCTACCAAGCTTCAAACTTTGGAACACCCAACTTGAGCGTATTCACAATTCGAAGCTAATTTTTCTGCTAAGTGTATCCCGACAATTTGATTACTGTAAGTCTGTCTTAGCTAAAGATCTTGATTTGTCTCTTCCACTATGTAACTTGAATTTTACTCTTTTTTT